CTGACTTCTGTCCCGAGCCCTCTACCCTGGGGCTCCTTGGAGGGCTGGACATGGCCAGCTGCCAGGTGGGGCTCAGGCGGCCTTGCCTCCCCAGGTGCCCCTGGGCCCAGAGTGCACGAGGGCTGTCATGAAGCTGGCATACTGCGCACCTTGTCTGGGGGTCCCTGGCGCCCGGCCCTGCCCTGACTACTGCCGCAACGTGCTCAAGGGTTGCCTGGCCAACCAGGCCGACCTCGATGCCGAATGGAGGAACCTTCTGGGTGAGCCGTCCCCACTGCCACGCGCCAGAGAAGGGGTCTGCAGGTGCAGGGACACAGCCAGCCTGCCCTCTGGAGCATGGGCCATGGCCCTGGGAGGGGGAGGGGCCCGGAGTCATGGGACGGGGAGGCCATTCGGAACAGAGCGTGACTCCAACTGCTACCTGGCATGCAGCCCTCGGGGTCATGACTCCTCAACCTCCCTCCCCTCCCCACCCCCGAGCAAGTGCCCCGCTGTGCACACATACAACACACCTGTGACCTAGGGCAGGCCACCCATGCCTGAACTAACATGCATGTGTGGCACACATAGTGGGCTGACATTCGTGCACATTTGCACGTGTGCGCAGACATGGCTGACGGGAGGTGCACCAGCAGGCCCAGATGCCAGCCAGTGTACGCCCTAACGTGTGCTGGTGTGGCTAACCCACACACGTGTGCTGACATGTGCTCACATGTGCATGTTAGGATGCAGTCTGAGCATATGTCAGCTGGCACGGGCACATGGTAGGCCAGTGCAGTTCGTGCCAACACACACATGAGGTTCCGTACACATGTTGCGTGCACGCACCTGCCAGCACACATAAGAGCTAATGTGTTCATGAGCGGACGCCTGGTGGGCCAGCGTGCGTGTGTGTCAGCACGTGCATGAGCTAGCATGTTGACGTGAGGTAGCTAGCGTGCATATTTACAAAACGCTCTCTGTGCATGTGTTCATACTTGGGCCAGATTCCATGGTGCTCATCACTGACAAGTTCTGGGGTCCCTCGGGAGCAGAGAGTGTCATCGGCAACGTGCATTTGTGGCTGGCAGAAGCCATCAACGCCCTCCAGGACAACAAGGACATACTCACGGCCAAGGTGTGGGCAGGCAGGTGCAGCAGGCATGGCGGGGCAGCCCAGAGTTGCCCTTGTGCCCCTCCAGGACCCCCGTGGTCTTCCCCCAGGTCATCCAGGGCTGTGGGAACCCCAAGGTGAACCCCCAGGGCTCTGGGCCCGAGGAGAAGCGGCACCCGGGTAAGCTGGTATTACAGGAGAAGCCTCCCACTGGCGCACTGGAGAAGCTGGTGAGCAGCCCTCAGCTGGCCACGCCTGGGGTGGGCAGGGGACGGGAGGGCATGCTGAGCGGGGTGCCCCATGGCCTGGCCGCTGCCCTGCAGGTCTCGGAGGCCAAGGTGCAGCTCCGGGATGCCCAAGACTTCTGGATCAGCCTCCCCGGTGTGCTGTGCAGCGAGAAGTTGGCCATGAGCAGCGCCAGTGATGACCGCTGCTGGAACGGCATGGCCAAAGGCAGGTGGGTGCTGCCCAGGTGCCCATAGGCCGGCTGGCCTCAGAAGCCTCACCCAGGCCCCTCATCTGGCTTAAGTCACCAAGTGCTATGTGCACAGGGCCATGCCTGACGCCAGGCATGCAGTGGGACATGGGAAGCCTAGACAAGGGCCTGGGCCAGCCCCCGGTGGTGTGCACCCCACTTGGTGTATCCACACCATGCTCTGTGGGCTCCTGGCAGCCCTGACAGGCTGCGGGGGTCTCAGGCTTGCCAGCACCTGGACAGGAGGAGAGGAAGTGGGAGGGCATGCCGGAGTAGCACCCCATTGCAGGGAGCAGGAAGTGACCCAGGGCCTGTCCTCGGCCGTTCCAGGTACCTCCCAGAAGTGATGGGCGATGGCCTGGCCAATCAGATCAACAACCCCGAGGTGGAGGTGGACATCACCAAACCCGACATGACCGTCCGCCAACAGATCATGCAGCTGAAGGTCATGACCAATCGGCTTCGAGGCGCCTACAGTGGCAACGACGTGGACTTCCAAGACGCCAGTGCGGGCGGGGCCCCAGGGCCTGGGAGCCACAGGGTGGTGTGTGGGAAGGGCACAGAGCAGGGCCCCTCCCAGCCCCTGGGCCCACATGGTGGCTCTGGTTGCTGCTGCTCCCTGGGCATGGACACCAGGCATCCCCACACACACACAGACGCCCATATCCCCAAGCATAGCTGCCTGGCCAGGATGTCCATCAGGCCTTGACAGGTCCAGGTGGAGCACAGGAGGCCCCCATGGCGGGAGGCTGGGCTCTGGGTCCCTGGTGCTCAGGGTCCATGGCAGGGCGGGCCTACTGGAGCATCCTCTCCTCCCCAGGTGACGACAGCAGTGGCTCGGGCAGTGGTGATAGCTGCCCGGACGACCTCTGTGACCGGAGGGTCAGCAAGAAGAGCTCCAGCTCACGCACGACCCTGACTCATGCCCTCCCCGGCCTGTCGGAACGGGAGGGCCAGAAGACTGCGGCTGCGAGCTGCCCCCAGCCCTGCGTGTCCCTGCTGCTGCTGCTCCTCGCCCTGGTCCTCTCAGCTGCCAGCCCCACGTGGCGGTAACTGCCCCAGGCCCCAGGGACCGTGGCCAAGAACTGACTTTGCCAAAACGCAGAACAGATGATATTTAATTCTCCATGGCCTAGAGGACCCAGGGCAGGACAGGGAGGGACAGTGAGGGACCTCAGCTCTGTGACTGCACTGGAGGGGGTGGGGGGCAAGGGCATTGGCCCTCCCTCCTGGCTCCACCGGCCACCCTGGCTTTTAGTTTTGTAGGAGGCCCTCAGGTCAGCCAGGAACAATGTCCCCAAAAGCCATGTATTTCAGGGACCTGGGGGATGCCGGTGGCCACCTCCCGCCTGCCCACCTGCGCCTCTCCCCCCAGCTCCCTGAGCAGCATCCCGCTGGAGAGAGCGAGCCTGTGCCTTCCTCTCCTGCCTCTTCCCACGGAGAACTTTGGGCTCCAGGTGTCAGAAACCGAGGCCCAGCCCTGGACGCCTCAGGATCCCCGGGAGGGCAGCGGGGTGTCTGCCATTTAGGGGCGAGCGGACCTCTGAGATTATGCATGAACCTTCCGACTCAGCCAGGCCCCCGTGATCTCACACACACACACACACACACACACACACACACACACCCGCCGAGCCCCTCAGCCTCCAGGAGAGTTCTACCTGGGCTGGAACCCTTGCTGACTGTCCATGTGGACCTCATTCTCTCCAAGGACCAGCTGCAAAGGCCTGGGGTGCACAGGGGCCGCCATGGGCACAGCCTCACCCCTCTGGGCACTGCTCTTGGGTGACCTGCGTGCAGGGCTTGGGGTGCTGATCCTGGCCTCCCCAGGAGAGCAGGCTAGGCTCTCCGCAGACATGGGCACCCCCTTGAACACAGGGCCCCACGACTGTGCAGAGGGCCTGCCCGCCCGTGCTCCTGCCTCACCCCACCAGACCTGGGGCCCCACGCTCCTGGTGATGCAGGCAGTGCTGGAGGCCACACCTGGCCAGAGGATCTGGGTGGCCGGTGAAACTTCTCAGCCAGGGGGCCTGACCCCGCGAGCCAGAGGGCCACCTGGGTCCCTCCTGACCCCGCCAGCTGTAGGGGCCTGGGGGGCTTTGATAGTTAAGGGCTTTTCCAAACGTACAGACATTCATAGACGCTTTCCATCTGTTCACTCAGAGCTGCTTTTCAGCTCCTCCTCCCAGAGCTTGGAAGGGCTGGGGGTTCGCGGACCTGGGGGCCATCCCTGCTCACTGGGGCTGTCCAGACCCTCCCCCAGGCTCAGGACCTCCCTCCCTCCCTTCCTGGCCCCAGCTGCCCTGGGGAGGGGGCTGGACCCCGCCAGAAAAGGGCTCAGGCAAGAGGACCCTCGAGGGTCTGTGGGATGCTGAGCCACTATGGCCAGGGACAGCAATCCTAACCAGCACCAGGGCCCGACAAGGCCACTTAGCGCTGCTTTGCCTCACCTCCCACGCTGGCCAGGGCCCCCAGCCTATGCCCCACCGGGCAGCACACTCCCACAGGCACTCCCACCCACAGTAACCCTGCTCATGCCAGGCTGGGGGGCAGGGCCTGGGGCCTCCTTCCCTGTAGGTGAGGGCCAGCTGGACTCTCAGGGTCTCTGGGGTGGTGGCTGCCTGCGTGCCTGGATGGCAGCATATGGCTGCACATGGCTGTCCCATCGGGGGCCTACACTATACGTCTCCCTGCTGGGGCGGCCCAGCACAGCCCCCAGCCAGGTGGTAGCCAGGCCTGCTGTGTCCTGCTGCACGGTGTCAACTGGCATCCTATGCTCTTGAGTCCTTGTACGAATAAAAGATTGGAGAGCTTGTATGGCTGCCACGGACCCCTCCTGCACAGCTTGGGCGGGTGCATGCCCCTGGGCCGCACACAGCAGGACGTGACTAAGGCACATGGAAGGGGTTCTTGCGCCCAGACGGCACCCCTGGTCTGGGTCTCCCCGTCCCACCCTGGGCTCACACAGTGCCTGGGAGAAGGAGGAGGCCAGGACCCACCTGCTGTCTACTCCTTCTCTGCTCTGGACTCACATCCTTTCACCGGCCCCAGGAAGCTTCCAGTTCCTCCAAGTAGCCTCCGAGACACCCAGGAGGCCAGAGCGTGGGGACCGTGTGGTTCTGAGGCCAGGCCTGTCTGGACATCCCAATGGTCCAGTCTGTCCCCAGGGCCGAACAGGGCCTGCACCAGGGGCAAAACTGCCAGCCCCACCCTCTGCCCGGAAGCAAGAGCTGCCGCAAGGTCACTTTATTTGGGAACTGCGGCCATGCTAGTCTGCCTGGAAACGCCTCGCACAGCCTCTCCTCCGTGGGCCTATGTGCCGAGGAGCCAGTGGCCAGGACCCTGTTCCCCTGTGCAGGGGTGGGGGGTGGCGTGCCCTGGGAGGGAAAAACAAGGCTTTTCTAGGGCTTGCAGCTCCTTGTGGCTCAGCAGTGACCAGGGGCTCACCAGCCTGCCCACCCTAAAGCCAGGGGATGGCAGGGTGGTCCAACTCCTCCCAGCGGGTGGGGGTGGGGGGACGGCCTCCCTCCCTGGGCGGGCTGGGACACAGCCTCCAGAGTCCACGGAACACGTGGATCACCAGACACTCATTCCTGGTTGTATGTGGAGTAGTTTTTCGGCCGGCCTGGTGGCTTTGGGGGCTCAGGCTTCTGGCTCGCCTTCTTGCCCAGGTGTTTTGAGGACTTCTGGAAGTTCTTTGTGAACACAGCTGATTCTGTTTTCCCTGTGGGGGAAGGACACAAATGAGGTGGGCTTCCAGCACCAGCCAGGGGCAGGTGGGGACCAGGTCAGGGAGAGGCCGCTCCCTGGCTCTGGGTCCCAATTCATTCCCCTGGAGACAGCCAGGAGGCCGCATACATGAGGACCAGCCCCTGCTGGCAGCCGAGAGCAGCCAGCCCCTCCAGCAGGCAGGCCGGTGCAGGGCTCCACATGCACACATGCGTGGGAAGTCATGTCCTTCCCTCCAGGAGACCAGTGCTCCTTTACCTGGAGACAAGCCCTCTGGCCAGAAATTGCACATATAATCAAAGGGCTAGCTCTAGTTCAGGGTAGACAACAGATCTACTAGTAAATGTGGAAGGATTGGAACTGGGGCCTGTGCTCCCGCAGGAAACAAGATAGGTGGCAAGTCGCGGGTCCAATCTGTCAAAGGTGGGGGTGGGTGTAGGGCTGGTGACGGGGCACGGACGGACAGGACCCAGTGACGGGCAACCTCGGTGAAGGGAAATGCTTCCCTCCTTCCTTTGCGGGGCCTGAAAATGTGAGCAGGACCCTGCACGGTTTCTAGCAGAAACCCATTTCTGGGCCCGACCTGGGAAGGCAAAGAAGCGAGGCAGCCAGGAACCTCCCAGGAGCCTCAAACCACACAGCAGCAGCAGTGGGAACCAGACAGACTGTCCCAATCAAGCGTGAGCCTTGGGAGGAAACACCAGGAAATGTCTGGTTTTGATGCTCACAGCGATGAGCCCGCCCCTTCGGACAGCTCTGCACACTGCACACTGCACGAGGCAAGGAACGCCGCAAAGCCAGTAGCCGTCGTGGGGCTCTGGAGTATGGGGGGGCGCTGCTGCCAGGCGGGGCTCTGCCCAGAAACCATCTCCCCAGAGCGGAGTCCCGCTGGTCCTCAGCCGTATCAGGCAGGATTCCCCGGCCCAGGCAGAGTAAGAGGCCCTTGGGAGAAGGAGTCCCATTATCACCCACGATGGGAATTTAAATTAAAAATTACAGCATGCCCCAAAGACACCCACCACTGAGAGCCAGAGCCCGAGAGCGTCAGGTTGGCGGACAAACAGTCTACAGAAGTTTGTGTGGGGTCAGAGAGATGGAAGCCCTCGGGTTAGAACAAGCCCATTGTTTAAAAGAAAACAGCAGACTGGGAAAAGCATCAGCCAGAGCTGAGATGGGGACCCCACAAAGGAGACAGGGACCCCACAGACATGGGGACCCCACAGGAGGCAGGAACCACACAAGAGGTAGAGAGGCCCCCCACAGAAAGCAAGGGCCCTCCCCACAGAAAATGAGGACCCCACAGGAGGTGGGGCCTGCACAAGAGGCAGGTTGGCAGGAGCTCCATGCCTTTGGGCAGCTGTGGCAGGGAGGCAGGTCAGGGGCTCGGTGAGCTGGTTGTTTCGGAGAAAGGAAAGCCCCCTGCACCTCACCCACAGGCTGGCAGCCTGAGTGCAGCCCCCAGGCTACAGAGACCAGGCCTGTCTGAGTCCCTCTGGAGGAAAGTCTGGAAAAGGCAAGTCTGAGAAGGGGAGCAGATGAAGGGCTTGCGAGGGGGTGGGTGAGAAGGGCACGTAAAATAACCCGTGGGGGGCCCTCGACTAGCTACATGGCAAAGCTCAAGCAGTCCCCTACCTCACACCAGCAACATGTGAACTGGGGACAGACTAAGAAGCAAACTGTAGACAGCCACACTTCAAGCACAGAGAAGACAAGGGGACATTATGACCCGAGGGCACAGCAAGCGTCCCTGGAGACAAAGAGCCTCAAGCCGCAAGGACGCCATGGGCATCCGTGGCCACTCCAATGTTCCGTCCTGCACAAGACGGACCAGACACGAAAGCACAGGCCATGGCACACATCACTCGAGAACAGAGCCATCCCAGCGAGAACATGCACCGCAATCCCACTCCCATGGAGCCCAATCCCTGACACGGGACTCCAAATGCTGGAGAAATAATGAAGAGGATGGCGGGGCGGCCCAGTCAGTTGAGCATCTGGCTCGACTTCGGCTCAGATCGTGGTCTCAGGGTCATGCAATCGAGACCGAGCCCTGAGTCAGGGATTCTCTCTCTCCTTCTGTCCCTCCCCCCCCGCTTGTGTGTACGCACTTCCATGCTCTCAAATAAATAAATCTTTAAATAATAAATAGGATAAATAATTAGTTACATATGAAAAAGTGCTCAATTTTCCTTATCATCAGAACACAGAAAGAGATTTTCCAAAGCGCTATGCAGTGTAAAATCTTACAATAGAAAGCAGTCCCACATGCCTTTTAGGGACACAAGAAGGAAAAGTGAAACCATCTAAGGGGACAGGAGTGGAGGCCTGGCTGCCTCTCATTCCGGTTCTTTAAAAACCAGGCATGGGATGAGCACAGCTCAGGATGGACATCAGTGCGGACAGGTGTCTCACCCGAGTGGTGGTAGGTCAGGGATCCTTACATTGTTTTGTGGATTTTTTAAGATGTTCAAGGTGAAACCAGCCCAGATACAGGTTTTGTGGGGCTGTGAAGCTTTTCAAGTGTGGGGAGAGGTGGGTTCTTCAAAATAAAAGAACCCAAACCACAAACAAAACTAAGCCAGACACACTGGCTTGTGGTCAGTCTGTAGCCGGGGCCCAAGGAAGGGGACAGGGCAGTGCCTGCCTCCCAACGACAGGGTGGGGGGTGCCTCCAGTCTGTGGCAGGAAAGGAAACCACAGCTCCTGGCCCTGTGTTGTCTGTGTCCTTCCTGTGACCTACCAGGCCACCCCATTGCCCGTCTCTCCAGAGGTCACAGAACACTGGATTCTGGGTGGAACCCTGACAACCGTGGGTTCCAGGCCCTTGGAGTCCATCACTAACATTCCAGAAGGACCGTCCCTCTCCATCCTGAGCTCATCTCGGGCTGCTCCTCTCTCAGACGCCCTGGATCACTTCTGTTCCTGGCTACCTGGGCATCTCCTCCCAAGGCTTCCTTGACCTCACCTGGCCACCCCTCAGGGTGCCACCTGCTCTCCCAAGGGCCCGGGGAGGGGTCATAGCAACCAGCCCAGTCCCTCCATCTCCCCAGCCCTGGCCCTCCGCTCACACCCCGAGGATGGGGTTTCCTCTCAAATGCCTCATCCTTGCCTGGCCCTGTGGGCTCCCCTGATCCAAGTGGAGCCCATCAAGCCCTCGCTCCCCCTCCTGGGCCTCGCCCTCTCTAGAGCACACTGCCACAGATGCCGCGTGCCCGTGGCCCTGCACGCTGGCTCCCCAGCCGGAGCATCCCTCACCCACCCCCTGCCAGGCCCTCTTTCTCCAGTGCCCTCCTGACCCACTGCTCCCCCACTGAGCCGGGCTCTGTTGTAGGCCAGGTCCCCTGGAGCCGTGGGCACTTCCAAGCTGTGAAGCCACACATCTGATCACCAAGGGCACCCCACACACATCTGCCGTCCTGCTCCCCACCTGCCCCAGCTCACCTGCACCTGGCAGTGACCTCCTAGCACCGGGGAAGGGAGCAGGGCATGTCTTTCCCCACCAGAGAGAGGGTGCCAAGGGCCCAGGTGAGTGACCAAGTAGAGCCCAGAGGTTCAGGAAGACAGGAGCAAGGGTCAGGGGATGGGTGAGCAAGGGGGTTGTCTGGGCACACTCCCAAGCCAGAGGAAGGCGGGGAGTGGCAGGGAGAGAGGAGGTGGGTGGGGTAGTCCCAGACCAGCCTCAACAAACCTAGCCCACGGGAGCTGCCTGGGTGAGCCCCCTGTTAACCCAGCACTCCACCTGCTCAGCACTACCCTCTACACACACATGCACACACAGAGACACACATGCATGCACACATGTGCACACACATGCACACACACATGCACACAGAGACAAGCACACAGAGGCACATGCGCAGACACAAAGACATATGCACACACATGCACAGACATACACACACAGAGACACGTATGCAGGTACGTGCGCACATGCACACAGACACATGTACAGACACAAAGATATACCTGCACACACAAACATGCACACAGAGACACACATGAACACGCACATGCACACACAGACATACGTGCACAGAGTCACACACACACACATGCACAGACTCATGTGCAGACACTCAGACATATGCACACACACTTGCACAGACACACGCACACAGAGACACATGTATAGGTGCACACACACATGCACACAGACACACAGAGACACATGTACAGACACAGAGACTTACATGTACACACAGACACACATGCAGAGACACAGAGACACATATACACATGCACAAACACATGTACACAGGCACACACATGAACACAGACACACATGCACACACATACACACACATATCCCCTCCACAGTCCAGCGGAGCAGGAGGAAGTCTCACACTCCACTCCCTGTTCTGTAGGCCACCCCCTCCTCCCACAAGCACTCCCCACAGCAGGACCAGCCATGAGATCACACCCCACCCCCAGTACAACTTCCATCGCTAACCACGTCCACCCTGAGGGCTCTCCCACAGCTCCTAGAGACACAGGGCATGTTCTCTGCAGCCCATCCCCCACAGGTGTCCCCCACATGCTGGGTGTTTCCATGCTGTGCTCTGCCCCTGCCCCAGCAGGCTCTCCCTGGAGCACCCATCCTTCCCACACCACTGCCTGGCTGGCCTACACTCCTGCCCTCACAGTCCCGAGGCTCAGGGGAGCACCCAGACGGACCTCTGTGCCAGGCCTGCTGAGGCGTTCCCATTCCAAGGTGACTAGGCCCTCACAAGTCACCAGGCCCTGTGCCCTATCCCCTCTGAGTGCACACCCCCACTACTGTCCTCCTACACCCCCAAGTCCCAGGGAGGCCAGCTCCCCATGACAGTGGAGCCCACAAAGCAGGGGCATGGGGAAGGGGGGGTGGCTTGGCATGGGGCCTGACCTGGGCACAGTGGGACCCTGACTCTGCAACAGGGCCCAAGTGACCCCAACTCCATGTTCACAGGGAGCCAACAGGCTGCACACACTATGGTCAGAGGAGAAGGAAACGGGTCC